GTGCAGGATGTGAATTTAAGTATAAAAAAAAAGGAAGGTATTATTGTTGTGTAATGCATTCAACTTGCTGCTGTCACAGAATGAATGGAAGGAGAAATAAAAAATAGTAAATATTTATTTTCGCGTTTCAGTTGAAGTCTGTTTTTATCTTCTGTGTATAGGGAGTTAAATCAAAGGAAAATTTCGTTTTTTTTATATTTAATTCGCGAATAACGTCGATTGATATGAATATCCCTGATGAAGAAAAGGTGGATTGCTTTCGTATAACTTATCGGTGAGATCGATTGCATGGAAGTCCTGTTAAATGAAGTCCTTGGTTGTTTTGTTTAGTATGATGTGTTTTACTCCCGAGTGATAAATATGGATGTTTATAGAAAAAATATGTAGTGTTTTTTCTTATATAGTAGTCATTGCTAACATAGCGAGTGGATGTAGTTGAATTGGAAGCCTATCGTAGCAATGTTTTCTCGATTGAAAATGTGAGACATGATGGATCTGTTTTAGTAATGTTTCGAAGACTGTTTTATTTCTTATCTCTTCTTAACCATTGAATTGATATGTTTCAACAGCTAGAAGCTTGGATGAGGAAGCCGTTGCTGTATTTTCATGAAATTTTAATTGTCTGGAGTCGCTGATGCTTCACTAAGTCTTCTGTCATAATATGTGAGGCTTCTCGAGTTCATCTGTCAGGCTCAAGAATGAGTTACGAATGATTTATGAATGGCACTTTCATAAGAAATGAGTTAAGTAGTTAATGATTTAAGCAAGAGATTGGCTTGTTTAAGTCTTTTGGTGGTGATAGAGACACAATTTCTGACTTGTAGAGTTCAGGAGGCTATCTCAGGAATGATGTATAATTAAGAGCAATCGAAAAAAACAAGATGAATTATTTCTTTTCGACTGGAATTGCAAAACATTATCACAATATAAATGAGAATTTAAGAGAAGATTTGACGAAATAAATATTCATTCTAAAATTATAATATCAGTGTACAAAAGGAGAGAAATGAGAAGAAGAAAACAAATCACATTATCTTTATATCTCCTTTTTACGATGTTAAGAAACATAATGAGAACGAAATACGTGAAAAAAAATTTCCAGTCTGAAACGAGTAAAAGTCTATGTTAATTTGGATCTCTTGCGTTGACGGCGTGGTGGTATTCGCGTCGTTTCTTCATGAATTGCTGGTGGTTTTCTTTTTTTTTTCGATTGCTGAGGTGATCCGGGTGTTGGTTCAGTATCAAAACAATTTGTATGAATTGTTTGAAAAATATTTTCATCAACATTAAGATTCGTGCATTGTTTGCCAGTTGATATAAACTCATGTTCTGACGTGGTTGATACTACGTTTATATTTTTTTTAGCAGCTAAAGTAAAAGGCAATGCAAAGTACGTAACAAACATTGAAGAAGAATTTGAAAATAATAAATCTAAGATTTTTCAAATAAGCATTGGAAAAACTCATCGTCTTAGTTGATGAAGTGCATTTCTAAGGGTGATCATTCTTTAGCATTTATTAAGACTTACTCAATCTTTGTGTATTGTTAAATGAAGAAGTGAATGTTGTTTCTCGTGTAACATTATTTGTGTGTTGATCTTGAATAAACTCAGATTCTTCAATTACCATTGAATCATTTTCATTTCTTTTAACTGAAGTTGTATTTTGAATCACACTGATATTGTTCATTGTCGTCGTTGTCATTTGATGTTGATGAGCAATTGATTTATTTTCTATCGTATAATCCCACGACAAAAGAATCTTTCTCAACGACTTACTAAGTTCATTTTGATCTTGAAAAACAACTCCATATAACAAATGAATGCCACGAGAATGACGAGTGAATTTAATTTCGAAAATATTATATAAGCAAAGTAAAAACGATACTGCTTGTTGAGCAGACGTTGTTTGTCCAATCAGTTGATAATCGAGATATAATTCATATTTATTGTCGCACATTTTAATACAAGGAGTTGGTTCTGTTGGATCCTAAAACGAAAAGAAATAAGATAAATTTCGAAACTTTCGAAGATATCAAAGATTAATAAATAGTCTGCGTTGCATTTATCATGTAGTTTAAAATATAAATAAATGCGATATTACTTTTTCAGTTAAAACATGAAGAACAGGATCTTTAAAATTCTTATATAGTAGTTTTATCAGCCGAATCGGTAAAACATCTAAAAAGAAATCAGAAAGTCAACTACAAATATTATTTTGAATATTTGAACACTATTTCACCTGATATAAACATAGAATTATCCGGTACTTTTTCAAATAACGCAGGCAAAAATAATTCTACATTATGTTCAACATCTATGTCGGTCGTCATTCGTACTTCTTCAAATATCTAAAAAGTAACAGATGAATTATTCATGATTTTAAAAAAGAATTCATGCAGCTTACTAATGATGGTAATGAATAACTAGGATATTCCAATAAAACATCTTTAGTAGAATTATTACGTGTAAATAACCGTCGGTAAGTAAATGTCTTTCTCCAATAATATGTTACCACTTCCATATCAGGTGATTGTTTATTAAATTCATCTTTCATCATCTGATTAAGCTTGAACATATCTTGTTCATCATCTGATCGACCAATAAATATCTAGAAAAGAAAAAAAGTATATTATTTAATTAATTGTACATTTGACAAGAAAATGAAAATTACTATTTTTTCAGTCTTTCTTTCAGCTGAAACTAAATCAGTTTTTTTTACTGGTCTTCCAGGACCTTTACCAAACTTATTTTTATTTCGTTGAACTTGTGCATTGATCTTTTGTAATGGCTTTCGTTCATTTTTGAATTTCTGTTTGATAGATTCTCGATATTCATTCTAAAAGAGAAAAAAGTAACTATAAAATAAAAGGAAAACATTAATACGCAGAATGTTTATAGAATAGATAAAACTGCTGTTTCTTAGTAATGCTTTGGACGTGAACTCTTCCATAGTTATTTAAAGAGAAGACCTCTGCGTCGTCACCCTGAATAGAAGAATGTATTTTCGAACTCACCAAAGCATTTTTATCATCTATTGGAATATTTAATGAACGTAATACAGCTTTAGTTATAATCAGATAATCTTGTGCTTTTGGATACCTAAAAGAAAACAATTACAAATTCAAAACGACAATTAATGATATACAGTCGACTATTACTCACAACAAACTATGCTTATGTGCAATATCATCATAGACTAAATTCAACAACACTCGTCTAAAATAAGTATGAGCTGCTAATTTTGTGAAATTCTTCTGGTCAACGACTAATTTTAAATCAGTTGGGAATTGTGGCAATTCATAATCTTCTTGGAGTTGTATTTCGTTCTCTATTAATCGATCATCATGTTCTTCGTCCTCAGAATGAGTACTACTCGACTTAGATAATGAAGCTTCAGCATTTTCTATAACGACTTCGTCAACAAATGGAATAGAATCACAAGTTTTTATATTTTCATCAATAAATAGTAGTTGTCCTTCATTATCACCATCATCAACTAGTATTGAATTTGATTCAACTTTCTTAGTGGATGTTTTGCATGACAGTTTTTCTCGTTCATTGATAAATATTGTTCTGTGTTTTAATTTTGGAAATAAAGATTTAATATCTTCAAAATGTAACTTCATCAGCAAAGTTCCATCTATGTCTTCCTCTAAACGAAAAAAAATAAGAACAAAAATTAAATTGCTAGAATCGAAGAAATTTAGAATAGATTGAAGAAATCAAGTTGAATTGATAATTCAAAAAAATATTCAATGCCTAAATAGTTCAGAAGTTCTTTATTTTACTGATGAGCTTAATCACATAGTTAAACGTGTTAAAACATTAACAAAAGATGAATCTTTTAAATGATAAATATCAAGTCCATGTGGAAGTATATTCAAACACTCATCTAAGTTCATAATAGAAAATTTTTCTAGAGAAGTTATCTCGTAAGACCATAGAGTTTGATCAAAAGACAACGTTTCAAGATGTTGAACAATTAATTTCCAAGTATTGCTCAATTTTAATATGTAACGTATAAGAACAAATTCAGGAATCTCTTCTTCATGATGCAAAGCTGTAACAAAAACAGAATGTTTTATATATTTAACATGATGATGACTTAACGTGAGACATTCGATATAGTCTATTGCATCAAATTGATGTTGCACCAATAGAGTTTTTACTTCAATAGGTAATTGTGACGGCTTGAGAGTTTTTTTTGATATTGGTTTATCGACAATACTATAAAAATTTTCACAAGACAATAATAAAGAAAAACGAAGTTGATGTCTTTTTGCTAAAGTAAATGAAATATTTTTGAAATTCGTCGACCTTAAAGCAAGTTTTTTAAAGTAGAGGTGCTTGCCCTCGAATCGTTGACACCAATAATTTCTTGCTGGGCCGTTTCTTTCGATCAACTCAGGATAATGAGTAATAAAGTGTACTTTTGCAGTGACATTCTCTGGTAATTTATCCAGCATCAACGAATGAAAAGATGTAGTTAATGATGTCAAATAAGGAAGCCAAGATTTTCTTATTTTGGTTGCAAAAACAATTGAAACAATCTCACGAAGACAAATATATATAGGTAATAAATCTGTTAAACGATCAATAACATCATTGAAGATTATCGGTATCATTTGAAACAATAAAAGTTTTTGTGAAGCTGAACCAGAAATGTGATTATTGGTGAGATGTTTTGGTCGAACTGTAGGTGGTTTATTGGACTGATCATTTTGACCATATTTAAATCCTTCTAATCTACTCTCAATTTGCGTATAAGTTAGAATCCGACGTGCTGATAATTCTTTTAAAATGGAGTTGACTATTATCATACACACACCTAAAGAAAAGAAAGAAACATGGGTATCAGTAGAACAATTGAACTTACCTTCAGAAAAGTCGTGCATGATGTCAAAAGGTAACGATTTTACCGGATGAAATGCAATTAAATTTGAAAAATCACATCGACGAGTAATACCAAAAATCGAATTTTTTGATTGCAACATTTGATTTAAATAATATTCATGTGATGTTTTAGATCGAAATAAAAAAGAAATATCTGTTAAAGGAACGGACTTGTACGTGTACGAAATGTAACACATACAACAGAAATAACCATTGTTAAAATTTTTCTGAAAACCTCCAAAATCATTTGCCGCGAGGTTATCTGCAGCCATTAAATCGAATGCAAAATATAAACGTCCTGTAAAGCAGGATAATGTTAAACCTTTCGTTTGTAATTCGTTTAAATCATTAACCATCGTTTCAAAAAATTTGTGACGATGTGATGGATTAGTTAAAAATTTCGATAAACAAATACCAATTAACCCAATGGAATTTAACAATGAACGAATAATTTGAGGTAAATCATCGAGGATATAATAAAATAATGATAATTTTTGTTCATCTTTTTTTGGTCCTATAGGATTTGTAACGCTAACTTCATCACTATACAGCTGCAATAAGAATGAAGTTCTATCTTTTTGAAGTGATTGATTAGCAGCTGCAGCCGTCCCATCACGATATGTTAATAGTAAGTCTTTATCATTTTTTGATGCTAATATTGTTTCATTTGTATTTTTAATCAATAAATCGATAACCTGTGGTTTATTCAAAAAGTTTTGAATTGATTCCTTTATCGGAATAATATAACCGCACTTTCCCGATTTATCAAACTCTAACTCATATGGTTCTTCATATTTAAAAAATTCTTTACAACTTTTAAGGAATTTATATTCATTGCTGGCTGTATTTTCTATCATCCAGATTGTTTGATTAATAGTTTCTTCTACTTTTACTATTGGTATGACGGCTGTCGCTGTTGTATTTGCATCATTTCCTGTTCTTTTTATAATATTCAGCACAATATTGAATAAAACTGAAATATTGGACGTAATTGAGGAGATGATGTTTTGCGAAAGTAAATGTTGTTCACGTAATTCCAAAAGAAAACGTGTATAATATTTCTGAAATTTTTTCATATAAAATGGTTCTTCATCATGTTTTAAAGTCGTTTCCGTAAAAAGTGGATGGTCAAGTTCTGTTTCTTCGTCATATTCATTCATTAACTCGAAGCTATAATCTTTCTGATTATTAATGGTTTGAGGTTCTAATCCATCATCGTCAGCATAACAAAATCCATAATCATTATTTAAACTACCATCAGGACAAGACAATTCGTTTACTTTATCAAGGGATTTTGAAATAAGATCTCTATGATGTCTATAAATATGACATTTATAGCTTGCAAATGTTGTATATATAGAACCACACAATGGGGTTAATTCACATCTGAGTTTGAATGATCGATCATTACCATGAACCAAATTTATATGTGTATATAAAGCATCAAATGAATAATATGCAGAAGTACTACTGCACAATTGACAAAAATAAGAATTTTCACTCATGCTACAGGCTTAAACTAAAAAGCGAAACACAAAACAGTATAACGTTAGTATAAAATGCTTTGTTTCTGTACATCAGAAGATAAAATAACCTCAGGAAGTTGCATTCATAATCTCACTTTTGGTGTAGATACGTTTTTCTCGATAAACATTTTCTGAAGAAAAAAGGCACAAAGTAGATTATCTTCAAAGGCTTTGATGATATTTTCATCATTAATAAATGATTTTAGCCATTGTAAAACATCAGCTGAATTCATTTCCATTGGTTTTATAGTTGAATACAAGTACAAAAGCAAAATGACCAGATCAATTGGATCTAAGACGAGAAATAGAAAGTTTAATAAAAAGTAGGTTTCAAATTAAAAAGACAAAACTCATTGTTTCAAATATAATTTTATCAACTCAAATCTATTTATGAATCGTTATTATAAACAAAATATTATTGTACCCTTATTATCAGTAAAGTGCACTTTAGGAAAAAAAAGCTTCAGTTCTACAATGACGAAGCCACATCTTCAAAGAGAATACAACGATATTGATGCCAACAAAAATTATCGATTTCTATGCCCCGCAGGACAAAGAGAGATTTCTACTGCATTTTATTAGTCATAGCCTGACAATAAGACGATACTTCTCATTGCAATTCAAAATACTGAATGTAAATCATAGAACTAATATACCTACATATATAATCGTGATAATGATATTACAATCGGATATAGAAATATTTTGATCAAATGATGTTTTTTCAAAATGATCTTAAAAAAACAATAAGATTAAACGTAAATGAAAGAACTAACATACTTATATA